TACTATATATATATATATATATATATATATATATATATATATATATATATACTACTATATATATATATAAATACATACCTATATATATATATAAATACATACCTATATATATATACAACATTGTGTGGAATGGTACCTGTGGCAGCGTTCTTAGTAAGTTCTCCGTGTTTCTTCGCAGCTGTCTGCAGAGCCTTCATCTTTTCGTCGCGGGTGGCATTGGGATCAGAGAATGTCTGTTCATAGGATGTTGGTTGTGGTATTGAGTCAGACGCCATAGTGTGGTTTGAAGCAACGGTGAGCAGTTTAATACTCGTAGAGAAATATATGTATGTATCTAATGTGACTATGTTATTATTTACCAAACAATAAACGAATAAAATACAATCAATAACAAAACATTAAACAATAAACAATCACTGATAGAGACAATTAGTGCACGTGCAATCGCTGACAAACGTAAACACATTCCAGCCCACGAATCTAGGTATATATATACACACATACATACATACATACATACATATACATATATATATATATATATGACAAAAAATCTGTGTATAACAACCCAGAACAAAACATACCAGAACACAGGCCTGTGTTTCGGGGGTGTTCGATCGCACAGTTTCGGTGCGGCCGTGTTTGAAAGCCGCGGTAGAGCATGACTCATATGTGGGGACAAATTTGCCGGTCATTTTGTAGTAGCTGGATGAATGTTTGGGAGACAAAGCCATGAGATATCCATGTGAGTATACATATACATATACATATAGATATATAGATATATATATATAATGTGACTACATATGTTATTTAGAATGCAATAAGGATATTGCATAGTGAGTTACTTTAGGCTACCTTTAAACCTCAACCTATACTTTAGACTACTGTTTACACCTACCCTACTTTAGACTAACGCTTACATCTACCCACACTTTAGACTACCGTTTCCACATACCCATACTGCAGCACGAATTGGCATACGGCATCGGCCCCTACGCCGTACTCTTTGATCTCATCTTTACCCATTGGGCCCATGCGACAGATCTGGAACTCCAGGCCACCTACCAACTTCTCGAAGTCTTGCTGAGAGGATGTGATGTGTTTCTGCGGAAAGAATAGGACCGCACAGTGCGTTCGAGTCAATATATACCGAAGTTCTTGAGATGACATGTGCACACAATAGACAACATGGTTCTGGTTCTAGTATACAGATGTTCCTACGATTGACAATACAAATCTAGTACTTGTGTTAACATTTACAAGCAGAAGTTAATATAGATCTAGTCCTTCTATAAATACGTACATCAATAGTTTTAAATTTAGTCTTCGTATAAATACGTACATACAACAATTTTAAATTGAGTCTTTGTATAAATACGTACTTACAATACTTTTAAATATAGTCCTTCTTTAAATACGTACATACAATGGTTTTAAATTTAGTCTATGTATAAATACGACCATACAATACTTTTAAATATAGTCCTTCTATAAATACGTACATACAACAGTTTTAAATATAGTCTTTGTTTAAATACGTACATACAATAATTTTAAATATAGTCTTTGTATAGATTCGTACATACAATAGTTTTAAATATAGTATTTGTATAAATACGTACATACTATAGTTTTAAATATAGTCTTTGTATAAATACGTACATACGATTGTCAATATACACTTATTTCTTGATACAGCCTACCTACTCCGTCGCGCGTATATGCGCGTGTTTGTGCATATCCTCAGTGCCTACATGTACATGTCTGTGTGTGATCTCTCTGCATTCACACACATCGCCTATACCTACACACGTGGTCACACACTCCTACACATACACACACCATACCTTCACATTCTCTGACATCTTCAACTCCATCTCCGTTGGCTTTGTGGCTGTGGCTGTGCCAGTCAGCTGTGGTGTGTTGTTGACATCGGCATAAACCTCGTTGATGAAACGCAGCACAGCAACACCTGAGCGCGTGCACACAATACAAATGGGGTTAGCCATGCTATGTGTAGACGACTCGAGCTTTTAGGATTTAAAGTTTTAGGGTTTAGCGGTAGCTATGGCACAGCATAGAGGGGAAGGAGTGGGTGCAGCTCTGTATAGTAAGATGAAGTATACCCATTAGCTCAATTATATCACAGGAAGTCGTCGGGCAAATGCACATGCGAATTAAAAACACACAGATAGATACACCAACCACAGACATGCCGTTGAGCACACACGAATATGTAATTCATTCATACGCCAAAACTATGTGTAAACTATTTATATACATATGTCCATAACGCACATGTAGTCCAGCCCATATGCATATGTAAACAAGCAATACGTCAAAATCATATGTATACTATTTATATGTTTATATATATATATATATATATCACACACACACACGATCTCAAACATATATCACACACACATACGCATGCATATATATATGTATATATATATATGTATATATATATATATCACACACACACCATCCTCCCCAGGCGTGTTCGAAGTTCACTGCAGACAGGCCATCGGGGCGAGTAATGAGTGAAAAGGACTTGTCAAAGTACCGGTCCTTGCCCTTTCCAAACAGGAACTGACGGGACATATCCGCCTGAGCAGAAGGTACAAGTGGAAGAGAAGACACTTGAGAGATGAATCAATCGAGCAATGAGCCAATGAACCAATCGGTTGAGCAGTGCAGTACAACAAGTACAGAACATGGGTACATGAAGGCCCGCAGACAAACGTCACATGTGTGGAGATATCTATATATATATATATATAATATATATATATATATATATACACATAGAACATAATAGTATATACAGAGGCTCTAGAAACAAAAAAAA